ATTTCATAATTAATGTATTGCAATACCCCTCATGTCATGTTTAATTTTTTTTTCAAAGCCCCTTATTTATTTTTTTTTTCAGAGAATTGAAAATTTTTCTTTTGAATCCATAATTGCATTTTAAGAAGGTCTATAACATCATTATTATTTCTGTTCATGTCCTCCATTTCTATAGAATAATTAAGTAACGGGGCTCACTTTTTTTTTGTTTATGGCTAAAAACTAAAATTAAAATTTAATTTCAAACAATCTTGCCTTCGCTGAGGTGATCCAAAAGGTTTTAGTTGTTTGAATAAATTTTTTTTTACTGATTTAAAAAAGAAGGCTTTTATTTCAGTTATAAAATCCTCATCTTTAGGCTTGTTTAATTACTCTTGGAGATTTAACATTTTATCCCATTGCATGGCTGTACTTTTATAAATATTACATTTCGAAACGACTGTAGTTGTTTTTCAATTGATTTGGTAATTATTGAAAATAATGGCGTACCGTGAAATAGAGCAGAAAGTTAACTAAAATCTTTACACGGGTTGAAAGGTTTGTGGAAGTTGATAGATAATTTAATTAGTAGGTTTGCTATGTGATGTTTTAATTTTTTTTTTATAAAGGTTTGCTGAAAAAACTTAAATAAAGCGTTTTAAGAATTATGTGAAGTTATTCTTACCGAGAATATTTATTCTAGAGTTACAGAACGTCAATTCACATATTTCTTTTTTTTACAAAACTCGCTGTGAATCTCATATTGTTCGTAAGCAAATTTCGATTTAGCCGATATGGACTGAAAGCTTGTTAGACAAGTAACTTTTTTAAATGTGGAGTTTTCGTAGTTCAATAATAAAAATGGTGAGATCATAGGTGAATTAGGCGGAATTCAGAAGAATGAGGTACCGATCCAGAAAGTATGCAAACATCATATAAAGGTATTTTCTTAACGTGATAAGCCTTTACTATCCAACCAATTTTGTGGTTCAGCTATGTTTATTAGAAAACTAAATTTGAAAAAAAAAATATTCCAAAACAACTGACTGGAAAAATTCCAACAACACAGTCATCTATCAGGCATCTGTAATGATCGTAAATGGTAAAATCACCCGTCAAAGTTTCGATATTTCAGGCATAATCAAGACGGGAAAAAAAAAAAAAAAAAAAAAAAAAAAAAAGACAAGCCAAAGATCACTGCACACCATGAAATCCAATAGCATTCTGGTAGAGAGGTGAGGTAACAGTTCAGGAAGGTTATAACCAAACAGTCGATAAGCAAACAAATACAGCTGAAAAACATGTAACTACCAACGAAAATACATAGATATGTCACAAAAACAAATAGAAATAAGGCAAAGAAAAACCAAAGAATAAATGGAATAAAAATGCACATCAAATATAGCTTGTCATCAAAATCAGCTGATCACACATAGTTAAAAAAAAACTGGATTTATTAGACTTATTCAAGATGTCCAACAGCATTATCTAACGTTTTTGCAGTACGCATAACCCTAAATATCTTTCTTTTAGACCTATTCTAAAATTAAGTAACGGTGAGGGGTTGTTTTACCTATTACCTGCATCTTAGAGATACAATATTGTGTTGTTGGAATTTTGTCAATTATAACTTTAAATTTTATAAAATTAAAAATTTTTAAAAAGAGAGCTACAATTTAATTTTTGATGGATATATAAGAGTCTCAGGATACGAGTACAACAGACTTTTTTGCATAAAATGCTTCAAAAATAAAATATACTTAAAAAATGATAATATATATATTTTTTTCTTTTATCCTACTGCTTTACAGTTGGTGGTACAGACCCCTTTTTATCAAATTATTAACATCCGGCTGAAACTTCGTAAATAGCTTCATCTCATCGTAACCTACAAATATTTTATTTACGAAAATACTCGGAATTGGGTAGTTTTCAATCTGGAGGTTGGTAAACTTTGTCTATTTAACTCGTAAATACCCATTTGCTTTTCACTTGAATCGTAAGATAACTTGAACACAAAGACGAGAAAAAAGGTGGCCTTCTAAAATATTGAGCCGTTTTGCGTGATCTACATCCTCAAATTGTCAAAATAACGAGGTTATATAAGCCAAACGACCCAATATTTTTGTAGGCCACCTTTTTATTTCCTTCGATTTCGTGTTCCAATTATCTAACAACCCAATCCTAGAAATCTTTAGTATTACTTTTTTTTTTGTATTATTTATAGCTCGCCCACTGATTTTAATTTTTTTTTTTGTTTTTGTTGTGAATAGTACAAAAAGTTTGTTGAAACGTTGGCCCATTGAGCTGTAAAAATTATTCACTGCACTTAATTTTTTTTCTTCACCTTTAAACCTAAATTTAATTCACCGTTAAGAATATCTAAATATTAAAAAAAAAAAAAGTTTATGAATATAAACGGAATGTCTTACAGTGAAGAAAACCTATTTTTTTTTTTAAAGCATTTCCAATGAGTAACAAAATAAAATATTTCTGTTCTTATGTTTTGTATGTTAAACTTAATAATAATTTTATTTGTTTCTAGTAAAATATCCAACCCTAAGAGCAATTAGCATAACGTTTATTTTTAAATCAAAATATGATAATGGAAACTTTCGGCAGTTTACGAACCTTCTGAAACCATATTTACTTATGTTAGACCTTTTTAAATAAGTAAATAATACTTTGTTTTGATTTTATTCTCATGGCGTCTTTTTAACTATTTGAAGATATTTTTTTTTAATCATCATCTGATTTTAATTTCTTTATAGTTATCGAATGAATAGTATATATTAAAAAAAAATGAGCTAATGTTACAATATCCCTAATAAATCATTGTTTACGTTCTTAGTGGAATAGGAAGCAATATATTCATTTTATCGAAAAAAAATAAAAAAAATTGTAATCCTGTTTTTAAGTACGTAATGAAATTATTTTAGTAAAATATAAATGATGTTTTAAAGAAAGTTTTCATAAAGTAAAAAGAAAAAATTCAAAAAAATATTTATTCCTGAAAAAGGGTAATGCCTTTGCCTAAATGATTAACTTCCTCATTAATGCGTCAATCTAATTTATTAAAATTGTTTCTTAGTTGTTATTATGCCTTGTCCTGGCATGCAGAAATATCTTCCCCCCCCCCAAAAAAAAAAATATATATATATGAAGTTCTAGGTATATTAATCTTTATGACAATTCTGCCTGAATGTATTATAACGAATTTTATCTTCCCATATTCGATTCGGCTTTTCAGGAACCTGTGCTAATAATTTATAATTAATTTCATAGTTAAAGTCGAAAATATATTCATCGTAAGCAATATTAAGCAAAAAAAGATATGTGTGAATCTCTTTAGATACATTTATTGTCGTTTAGTAAGAATATTAGTAGTTTACTAAGTTGTAATTTATAATTGGTGTGGTATTTTTTTAAATCTAAATCTTGTAGATTATTTGTTTTTGTCTATTTGGGCTAATGTTCATGAATTAATAATGATCAGAATTTTTCTCTTATCAAGTACTAAATGTAAGTATATCCTTATCAGTGAGGAAGGGAGGTAGAATTGGTTTTATTATTCTTTGAATAAACAGTAATTATCATTTATTTATTGCATTTTGCTAGTAATTTGTCCAATGGGGTTTCCCTTACATGTTTTAACAATTGCTCGGAAAGCATTTCATTCGAACACAAATGAAATCCATTTTCAGTAAATAATAATAATAATAATAAATAAAAGTAAATATAATTTTTGTATTGAAAAAATTGTAGATGATGTTGATAATCCATACTGTTATATTAAAAGTAGGTATTAATGAATTGCCTTCATCAAAAATGCAATGAAAAAAAAACTCCAAGTTCCAAAAACAGAAGCTCTAAATATTTCTTAATATTATTCAAATATTTATATCGACCATAGTTGAAGTTTGTATGAAAACGAAATTGAAGAATGTTTCTAAGCTTATCCTATATTGTGTTAAATATTACTATATTATGTATATTTTAAGTACGTTTTCTTTTAACTATTTTATTAAAGATATTGTTGTTTATTAAAGTATTATATTGATGTTTATTTTTCAACACGATCATATTGGTTAGTTCAACTCACTTTTGTTGAATAATATGCACGTTTTCATTACCTATTACAAAGGTCATACAGGTGAAGTGTGGAGATTTGAAATCAGGTTTTTTTTCATACAAAAATTAAATCTTAAAATTTTGAAATTTTGTTTTGAAAATATTTTACCATTCAGTTTACGTTTATTTTGAATAGTGAAAATTTTGAATTGACTTAAGTATATTGTATGTATTGTTCGCCTTTTTATTTATTTCATGGTGTTTATCATTCATCCTTGATCGCCCAAATTACATCTTCACTACTTCTCTCTGTTTCCCATATGCCATTGTTAGAATGCATTTCTGAATTAGAAAATTTTCTTACCTGGTTTCGACTGACCAATAGTTACAAGATATTGGATGTATTCTGTTAAGTTAGTTGTTTCATTATAATTGATTCTTATCTATAAACTTCGTTCTGTACAAAACGCACTCATTGGCAGACCAGGTGTATCAGATCCTGCAGTCTTTGTTTTGTTTGCCTTGCACGCCATTAGTATCAGCCTCAGCTTAGGGACAGCCTCTAATTCGCCAGTGAAAAAAAAGGATATGTCTCTCATTCGTCTCAAAAATTGAAAAGGAAAAACGACTGGCCTATTTTTAATTTCTTTTAAAATAAAAAAAAATGGATTCCTCATAGTTTATCAAATTTTATTTCTTAATATCAATGCGGTCTAGAAGTAATTTTAATGGATTAAAATTTTATTGTTAAAAAAATGAAATTGAATGCACGCTATGCAAAGGAATTTCTCTGATGAAATTTTTACTTATAAAAAACTTGCTTCAGTGATTTATAAACAACACTCCTTTGACATTATATTTGCGATATTTCAACACATCTCAAACTATTCCTATTTTTCACAAGCATTTCGCAACAAGATTCTTAAGGTTTCTTTTTGACAACACTCTTCATGTTACACCTACAAGGAATAGAAGTTGTCAGGATAAGAAACATTATCCTTCGATCTTACAAGCATGACAGATTTTGCCTTCAACTGCTCAATTCGAACAACAGTATAGAACAAGGGTGTCATAGATCGCACAAATACGATGTTTGGACGGTCACGTGCCCTTTATTCTCCATGAAAATTTCTTTCCATTCCGTAGTGTCGTGTGCTATCGACAAGCAAGTGCCTATCGGTAACATTAGCCTAGATAGAAGACTTGTGGGCACACCAGAGGCTGGAGAGGGCGGTGGAGATTTCGAAAGTTAGGGGTCGATAACAGAGAGAGCAGTGGTGGGGATATCTGAGGGATAACCTCTCTCAACCTTATCCCCGCCACCTCACAGCCTCAATATCTTTCACAAATCGTCCTCATGTCGCATATTGTCATGCGGATCTCGATTGGATGAAGGGAATCGTGGGTGGAAGGACGTGACCACTGTGGGGGGTGTAAGCCCCTTGTCCAACGCACTGATAGACCACGCTCACTACTTTCGCACAAGCAATTGGAGAACTGTTCCGCTTGGAGGCGACGATTCTAACGCCGGGCGGACAGAAACAAAGGCTACTACAGACCTGTTACAAATGTGGAACTGTTGGCATGCTACCAAGGAATTCCTCACTGATAAGGATATCGCTCGAGACGTGCACACCGCTAGGACGGGCAGCGGTGTTCCTGTCACCCGATGACGGTGCCGTCGCCCTAATGAGGCTGCAGACGCACGTGACGCCACGACGCTAGCTACAAAGCAGACAAGCTCCTAACGACTACAGGTTAGTCTGTAAGAGATGGTGGCTACCTGGGCTCGAGCGGCTCCTCGGTGCGGGGGCATGTGTCCTGCCTCGGCCTGAGGACAGGGGTCAGCCCCCACTTCTCGATGAACTCTATACGGGAAATGTTGGGCTGGGCGGCATAGCCCCGGACCTCCGAACAGGCTGCACCGGCGGCTCCCGGCCGACTGGGCCTCGCCCGCCCCTCCGGCGCATGCGCCCCCCGCCCCGTCCATTCATTCGTCTTGTCTTTCGCTTCCTCAGGCTGGTCTTCGTCCTCTCCAGTGCACCCCCTATCGGAACATGTCACAACTTCCTCTTGAGAATATATTTCCATCTCCTGTTATTCTCACCTCAAACGCTCATGTTTTAACAATGGGATTTGAAAAAAAAAATCATGACTCGAGTAATAAAGAATGAAATGAATTTTGAATGATGCGTAACTTTTTTAGACAAGGTAAAAGTAATCTTTATGAACTGTTAATCTGTCATAGCTCCAGGGGATGATGTACAAGAGGAGGGTGTAACAACCTCCGAGGAGGAAGGGTCGACTGACTCAGGATAGACCTTTTCCATCCCAACGGACTAATTTCGTGTTGTGTAGCTCTTTGGAAACAACATGTGACAATAAATATTCATTTTTTCCAACTATTCGGCATTATATTTGAGTATGCTCAGATTTAATGAATAACACAGCATAGCATAGTTTGGTCGCACCGAATACCCCTTTAAATGGTTTAGATAAACAAGGAGAGGAAACAGTATATGGGTCACCAATTTCAACATTTTTTGGGAGGGGGATAATACGTAGAAATATATCAGACACACTCCGGCGTTCTTTCCAATGGGCCTTAGAAGTCGAGTAAAAAAATATTTAATATAATTTCAAAACAAAATTTATGTTATTTATTTTTGCTTTTTCTTTGTCCGGACTTTTAGTTTACTATATATCAATCGTTTTATTTTTTGTGCAGAATAAAAAAAAAAATTGAATTTATTATTAAATTAGTTATAATGTATCATAACTAATGAACTAATGAAAAATTACTTCCATTGTAATATACTTTTATTAATAAAACATAAACAAACGAACTTGGAGATCTCCTCCATCATATGGACCATTATAATTATCTTTTAATTTTCTTCTTCTATTCACTTAAAAATTCATTATAATGGAAGTAATTTTTCATATATAATTATAAATATCTGAGCATAATAAAATATATTTTATTTCCGTATTATTGATGATGATTAAAAATTCGATTTTCGTATTTAATATATTTATTGGATCATGAAGAACTTTAATTTTCTGTTTAGATTTTAGTATACTATTTTGTTTTATGAATTATAACATACTTTAAATTTATCATTACATTAAAAGTTTAAACTACATCGCCCCTAATGAACATAGGTCTGTATATTGAATTAAAATTTGGGAAAATTTGTGCTTCATTAATAAACTTGCTCAATTGATTGAGTAGAAAAATATCCGTTTAAACATTTCATAAACTATGGAAAACTTAATTATCTACCTTAAGTAACAGCAATATTAGCGCTAGACCACTCTGTTTATCAAAAATAAGAAACAAAAACACTAGAATGGGAAAAACATTTATATATTTGTTTTCTAATAGTTTGTGAAATGTCTGAACGCACCTTCAGACTCTAGATCATAATTTCGAATCTTTATATTGAAGTTTTATGTACTATTTTATCAACTTAGGTTGTAAAAGCATAGCAATCTGATTAAGAAACTTTTTTTGTATGTTCTGATATAATTTAAACATTACATTTTTGATAGTTCAGATATCACTTTTTAAAATTACCTTTCGATCACTTTTCTAAGTCATTTTTTTCATTCAAACTATTCATTCGAAATTTTTATTACATATAAAAAACACCTTGTGAGATTTTAAGAGACTGTCTATAAAATATAGGGTTCAGGATACCTATTGTCCAGCGGTTTGTATAGAGAATTTATATATATAAAATAAATTTGTATATATATATATATATATATATATATATATTTGTATAGAGAATTTTTTAAGTCTTATTTAGAATTTCCCAAACGAAATTGGGATTTTTTTCTGACAGAAACTAAATACACACCTTTACTTACTTAAACCTATATGTACTTATTCTTCTCAGATATACGTTAAAGCTAAAAAGTCCCACTTACACATACTTCAAAAGTTCCAATCAAAAATATTACGTCTTATAACTAAAGCACATTGGTATAACAAACTTTACATAACGACTTCCTCCAGCCTACAGTTGACCAACACATAAATACTATTTACAAATGATTTCACAATTATTTACACGGACATACTAGTTAGACATATGGCTTCAGCTGACTTGCCCATCAATACGAGGATACTAAAAGGCGCTGGACAAGAGACCTCCTTAAATAAAAAACCATGGTAATTGATTCAAGCCAGGGAAGAGGTAATGCTGGTTGTTATCCTTCTCCATGCCTGACATGTCAGTTTCGTTACTTTAATCAGACCATCTGCTGATTGTTAACAGTCATAGACAGGTACAGATTATTATTAAAAGATAAATAAATAAAAAGTAAATTTACAATTGTCTATTAGAAAAGATCAAAATGGGTTATAGACAATGATTATTTAATTAGAAATATTAATTATACTTATGATTATTATACTTATAAGTCCCTTCGCATTGCGGGATAACTGGTAACGAGCAGGTTGACCAAGCAGCCAACATGGCAAGAAAGGCAAGCAATGACTCCGTTGGAACCAAATAATAAAATCCATTTAGAGGATTACATGAGAAAGATTAAGATGGATGTGTGGAAAATTTGGGAAAATATGTCTAAGAAAAAGAACTCTAAATTGAGAGAAATAAAATTCCACTGCTAAGAATGGGAAACCTCTTGTCGATCCTCTAGAAAAGAAGAGACGGCCCTCTGCAGATTTCGAATTGGACATTGTGAGTTCTCGCACGCCTATCTACTAAGAGAACTTGATCCTCCGACCTGTGAGAACAATGTGCAAAGAACTGTAAAACACATTATTCAAGAATGCCCTACTCTAAAAAATATCAGAGAAAATTTGGATATATCACCAAACCTACCAGAAAACCTAAAAGACAACGAAAAGGTGGTAAAAAAACAACATTAGAATTCCTAAAAGCGGTGAAACTCTATAATGGAATTTAATTAGAAGGTGTTGTCAATGACCTTCCAGGTAAAGGCAACAAAATAGCAACTGTTGAGATAGTAATTATTATGAAAATTCTTTAATTGATTTTTAAAAATCTTAAATTGAAATGAAAAATTATAAATTTGGTTTGAAAAATCCCAATTTGGTTTGGGAAATTTTAAATTAGACTTGAAATTGCTTTATATATGTGTGTATTTAACATGTAAATAATTAAGTAATTTAATTTCAACTCTTTTACATATTACATTATTTGTACGAAGTACTTTCATCTATTAGTTTTTCAACAAGAAAATCATTATTGATAATGTATTATTCATAATTATAGATCATACATCAAGTCCACATAAGAACATGCATTAGATTATCTATTTACGTCATATTTTCATTTTCTTAATGCATATCCAGTCATTTTTAAAAGAAACAGTAAAAAGCCAAACAATCCTTTTGAAAGTTAATGTTTTAATTCTTTTTCAGACCAATGTAGTCAGATGAATATTATGTATATATGTATACATTACAGAAAAGTAAAAACTGCTATTAAAAGCATCCAGACATCACAATATATTTTAACACTTTGGTTTCCAAATGATTCTTAATATTACATCAATTTAAGCTCACAAAATAAAAAATGGAAGCAAACAAATTTTTTTTCGACTACTAAAGAACCTTTTTTTATTTTTTAAAAATAATAGATCCGATCTGTGCAAGTCCTATTAGGTTTCTTAATTAGTGTACAATTGGCATCCCCTCACCATATTATTTATTCATAATTCAAGGATTTCTAAAACTGATATAAAATGAACAATTTCTCCCGTTCCTTAGATTTTGTATGTTTGAGTAAAAAGTGGTTGTATAATAATAAAATGCAATGAACGATAAACTTGAGAATGATACAGAAATATTGGTTAAATACAGTGGAAGCAAATTAGCTACATCGGAAAAAGAAAATGGAAAAGGATGGCCCAAGATAGGCAGAAGATAAGAAGGCTGGTTTAAGCAGCTGAAGATCTAGAAGCTCTGCAAAGGCAGCCAACGAGGAGAATACATATCGATCTTACAACAATCAATCTTTGTTGTTATTTTAAGGAATATTTAATCAACGCTATTTATTCAAAAGATAACAATATCTGGTAGAATAATAATTAAGGTTATGAATTTTAATTTTTATATACCTCTTTGGGTGTTAAAAAAAAGGTTTTGGGTCAGCTTATTTAGGGCTTGCCAACCTTGGCGTGATGAAGGATGTTTTCCTTCCACAAAGAAGAGCAGGCGTAAATGATTATCATAAATTGTTGGTTAAGGTTTCGCGATAAGCAACCTTCAACAACTCTGCCTTCAGCTTTCTTTCCAAATTTGATTTAACTTTTTCTGATTATCATTGTATGGACTAAGAAATCAATCTTCTGTTCATTATTCCTAAAATTGGTGTCTTGAGGTTTTATTTGTTATATAAATTAGGCCATTATTCACCAACATTTTATTTATTAGCTTTTTTATTACGACGTTTCGACAATCACTAGGGTCATTTTCAAGTCTTATTGAGTCCTCCATTAGATATTCATTATTACTGTCGTATTAATTTGTTCAGAGAAAAATTAAATTATCGTGCTTGCTATTAAATTGTCCTGCCTTCTTCAATATGAGTCCCTCAAGAAAAGACGTAGAGGAAATTCTTAAATAGCAGGACAATTTAATTTTTCTTCAAGGCGAAAACTAAATAGAGACACT